TTGATTGTCCAGTAGACAGCACGAGTTAAACACAGTGGCATCATAAATAGTGGTAACACCTGGTTTTAAGTGAGATGCAGTCTAGGATGGTACATAATAATATCTGCCCTGTTTGCAACTAAACTATATTTTCTGATGGGCATAGGTACAAAGAAAAATCTTTTTCTTTCATCGCTTAGGACAAAACTGAAGTCACAAACAAACCTCTTGAAATATACAAAGCAAAAATGTGTTAACCCATCAGTCGCCAAGCGGTCGCATATGACCGCGTAACAATGATTTATCGATTGTGTCTAGATACGCGAGGCTTGAAGGTTTAAATATAAAATAAAACACAACAGTATGTAACCAAGCTATAAACTTCATAAAATATTTCGTTCTAAGTCTTATAGCCCAAAGCACTAATTACTCATCGGCCAGACGACCGCATTACCATACAAACTGAAACAAAGGTAATAACAGCTTAAATGCCCGAATGTAAGGTATTCCTCGAGAACACGTACTTATTCACCCCTGTTGAATTTCAGTAGTGATGTTCCTATCTTAGAATAAGGTATTAAACTGCTAAGATATTAACAAATAATACCTATATTAACCCATTAGTGCATAACGTGCGAGAAACCTGACTCATTTGAAAAAAAAAACAAATAGACAGCTTTGTTGCTCTTCGAGAAATAATAGTTTCGTTCGTTCGTTCGTTTCAGCCAAATAACGTCCACTGCTGGACAAAGGCCTCCTACAAGGTTTTCCACAATGCACGGTCCTGCGCTGCCCGCATCCAGGCTCTTCCCGCGACCTTCCCGGTCCACCTAGTAGGAGGCCTGCCCACGCTACGTCTTCCAGCCCGTGGTCGCCACACGAGAACTTTTCTGCCCCAACGGCCATCGTCTCTACGAGCTATGTGCCCCGCCCACTGCCACTTGGTTTTAGCAATTCTGCGAGCTATGTCGGTCACTTTGGTTCTCCTGCGGATCTCCTCATTTCTGATTCGATCACGTAGGGAAACTCCAAGCATGGCCCAATAGTTTAGGTGCCCTTTATTAGGTGTGCCTTAAAATGGGTGCGCGTTTCACGGATTTTGCCAGGATGGAGTTATGTGAAAATCTGGGTTTCAGACTACAAACACACTTAAAACATATCGTGGTAATGAAAAAAAGACAAAACTTTATGTGAGATTGATTGGAACAAATCTATATTTCCATTCGGTATCAGCCAACTATATTTTCGTGAGGGGCGGCTTTTATTTTTACATGGTAACCTTAAATTATAGACGGTACCATGCTCGTACCAGAGTAGGTACTCGTACAATAGCTAGGTACATCACTATCTGAAACTTAGGTGGAACGTTTTAAGTGGGACATTTATAATTAATGACCAGCCCAGTGCCGTCACGTCGTCATTTTCCCTGGATTTATGAACATGCGAGGATTTTCCCGGAAATAGTTATTATTAGAACACTTAACCAATTATATTATGCACTGCCCATCAATTTATTCGTCGACATGTGAAAAGAAATGGAAAACTCTATATCATTAATAATAACTGCCAATAAAATACTGATATTTTGAAAAGTAGCAATATTAAAAATAGAACACTAAGGCTGAGTTGCACCACCTAACTTTAACGGTAACTAAAGCGACGATAACCGGTGTTTTTTGTATGTATGTAGTTTGACATATTTATGCGTCTGTCACAGTTAAAGTAAGATGGTGCAACCCAGCCTAAAACATTTAAGTAATTCCTTGACAAGTACATTACTATATTTTTAATCATAAGTTTAAGCTATCAGTTATTTAAACAAGCAATAAGTAGTAGTAAATAATGTCCTATTAAATGCATAATATTTTTCTATTATAAATATAATAAATAAAATCTTTATTTAAGCAAGAAAGATTAACAAGACTATTAGTAATTTTATCCCCATTTATCAGTCCCGCTTTATGGATTTCACTTCCGCCGGAAACGCGCGAATAACTTTTTCGAATCTCGAAAAGCTCGCTCGAAAACTTGTAATTAATTTTTAATCCTCTGTCCTTACTTTGTAGCTTCACATAATAATTTAATTTTATCGTGTTTGGATGATAATCAGTTAATTTCGTCTCTTTTGCAGAGAAAAGGATTTTATTGTTCATTGTTTTATTAAAACGTTGGCAGTTGATACTTTATTAGCAAAAAGTCCTTTTATAAAATAAAATTTTAACATGTTTATTTAATCTCTAGGCCGAGTTGCACCACCTTACTGACCGAATCTATAACGATAACCAGTGCTTTTTGTATGGAGTTTAACAGATTTTTGACGTTTGACAAAGTTAAAATAAAATAGTGCAACGCAGCCTTAATTTTATTTTTAAATGAAAAAAACACAAAATCTTTCGATTGTTCCTGAAACATAAGTAAAAATCATTGACACAATGTTCATATCTTCATCCTAAGACCATTATTATCGATTGATCTGCCCCAGTCTTGTTAACGCTGTTGAGTTAATACAATTGCTTCTTAATAGGCGTTTAAGATCAATGAGCAGGTTAATTAATGACCTAACTACCCGTTGTATTGAACGGACATATCATTAGGGTTCAAGAAATTTAACAACAGTGTGTTGATATATTTTAGTGGATTTAAATTATTTGTTAAAGTCAGGCACAAGTGAATACAACTTGACACCATTACAGCACGGCAACTTACGGGACAGGCCCTGATGATGGATCGACCCACTTATAAATTCAAATGAAAAAGTAACCCTTTACTGACTGAGTTGCACCACCGTATTTAAACCGTGAATATAACCATAACCGTTGTTTTTTGTATTTAGTTGGACAGACTTGACGTTTCTTAAAGTTAAAGTAAGATGGTGCAACCCAGGCAAATAGCTCTAAAACAAAAGGTATTTATTTATTTATTTATTTATTTGTAATAGGTATACAAACAGTTTACAGTCTGGGCTTCATCGTAAAGAAAAAGTGTTAATTACATACTGGACCGTAAGCCAAAATTAGTATACACAGCATGATAAATTAAATTAAATTACAAGTAGGGTAAACNATTTGACAATAATTTTCGGTAATTCGCACTTTTGGCGATTTCTTAAAATTTGCTAAAGCTTTATTAATTCTTTCATGATTGTCCATTTGTAAAATTAGATCAGACTCCATTTTGTTAATTTGATTATTTTAATTATTTAATTGATGATAAAATTGTAATAAAGATTGTAAAAAAAATATAATGTGTATAAAATGTAAATAGTTTTAAAACCAAATCTCAAAGTTCATGCAAAATTTACCGTGAAAATTCTAAGTGTTTCGAAACAAAACAACTCTATACAAAATTGGGCATGGATTCCCCGTCTGAACCAAATTCTCTTAAAAACTAACAATGTCCTTAAAGTTTACTAACGAAATATTCTAAGTCCATAAAATTAACTCGCAAATATTCTAAGTTCCAATTTTCATACAAACATTACTTGCACTGATCACTAAATGTTAAAGTTAATTCTTCCTTGTAAATAAAGTTCAAATTTCTATCGCACTGCACTGATAAAATAAAGAGCACTCACAGTTTTTTGTCCTTTTCACTCACACGTGTGACGTCAGCCTTACGTCGTCCTTGTCCTACTCCTCCAATTGATTCCTGATCCCAATCCTGACGGCACCTTCTCATCAGCACCGTCTCGGAGTCCAAAGCCGGATTCACCACCAAGCTCGAACTCCTGCTGCAGCAGCTCCAACCCTCGGAGGCTGTTCTGCTTCCTCAACCAGGAACCACAGGAACCACCACCACTCCTAATCCTCCAAAAACTGCGCCCTTATCTGGACGGCTTCCGGGATAGGTCTGAGCAATACCTATCCGACTCGATGGACCATGTTTAACCCCCTTGGGTCAAAGTCGAATCGAGGGTGTACTAGCTTAGAAATAAAAGCCAAACTCAGTACACGACGGGTTTATTACGTCACCACAATCGGTTAGTAACAAGTAGGATGGTTAATGTGAACGGTGGTTCAAAACCTTTATATATGGGTCGCCTAAAACTTCGACACCGCGATGTAAGTCAGCACAACGCCATCTATTGACAGTCTTGCGAACTAAAATGTCTTAGAATCTACGGAATGTAACTAATTGACTGGACATTGCCTTATAGACTATTCTTACAAGGTACGTGTTTCCTGGCTATTTGACATTTCTAAAACAAACAAACTTGTTCGGATGCTCATAGGTATTTAGCGCAATTTTCTATCGTAATTATTGAATCCTTTCAGTCTACAGCAGTCTTTCCCAAAGTGGGCGATAACGCCCCCTTGTGGGCGCTGCAGGCTTAAAAGGGGGCGGTAAGAGACCCAGAAAAAAAATGGGACGTTGTGTAGAGGCTTGGGAGGCGTCATTTACTAAGAGGACTGTTAGACACCGACTGAGCACTCGACACTCGACTGCAAATGGGGCGCTAAAAAGAATTTATTCTCAAAGTGGGCAGTAGACAAAATAAGTTTGGGAACCGCTGGTCTACAGTGACATTCGTATCGTTTCAGAACCCGTACTCATACTCGTTCGGCACGAAACACGGCGACTACGCGCCGCCCATGATCGTCAAAGAAGACACCATGGACTGTCTTTGAAAACTGGTGCGTCACTAAACGGAAGCTGTGACGTAACAAACACGCAAACGCGAGTGGTCCCAGAACGGTGTGCCATCCACATAAACTTGATTGATTGCTTTTGAGACACTTTAATTTGTTACATGGAATTTGTAATCATTTAAGAAAGTAACAAAAGATGCAATTTTCAAGTATTTATAAATGTTTTGTAGCATTTGGACTTTGATGCTTGTTTGTAATGTGCTAGTAAAATGTTTACAAAAACATTGTATAAGTGAAGAAACAGTGATGTTGAAGAAATTGTATGAATTGGAACATTTCAAATGATTTTTGAAAAGTTTTTGTATTGTTACTGGTCTTTTTGGAGTCCAAATTGAATTTTTACTTTTTGAATTAAAGATTGTTATTGTTTTATAACATTTTTTATTAACAATTTTACTTACACTATCTACTTATGAATTTACACTATTTCTTATAAATTATAACTCACACCCACAGTATACTAGGCAGGACATTGGACTTCCTCTATCGTTCACAATCTCATCTTAACATTGCGTTCACTAACATTCTGGCACGGTATGGTGATGATGAAACAAATTATATTGGGAGCAGGGTTGCTTACACAAAATGTAGTTTGGCAAAATTAGTCCATTTAAACATCTCAATAAGTTTTGCATGCAAAATCATATCGATTGCAACTATGTTCGGCTGTCGTCTACAGAAGTATATGGAAGAAAGAAGCATTCTTACGTTGAAGCACTGAGGGTAGTCTTCTATCTGTCGTCAGAACTTGCGCATGGCCTTGAGGCGGTTGTTGCGTCGCATGCCGGCGGCGCGCACGCGCAGCCAGTAGCGCTTAGAATTTGGGTCCAGCTCCTCCAGCCGCGGCGGAGCGCCCGTGCGCAGCGTCCACAGCCACGACGGGTACTCGCTGTCGTCCTTCAGCTGCGGACACATTGATGAGTTTGGTTAAAAACAATAGAACTATGCAAATCAACAAAAAGAGGGTCCTTCAATCGTAGGTAGAATTTTTTCCTAGGATCACACTCAATATTAAAATAACACATTTACAATAGGTTCATGAATTAGAAATGAAAGACATTGTGTAGTATTATAAAGCTTAGAGAGCCTGTGATGAAATGTTAGGACTAAAGAGTAGTCAAGCATCAGGATAAAAGAACTAAAAGTTATGAATAAATAAATAAATGACTAAACATGAACCAAGGAAAGTTTGGTATGAACAATATAAATTATGTGAGGGCGATCGGCCCACCACCAAAAGTACCTTATCAAGACCATGTGCATCATACATAAGTAAGGAAACACCAATTGGATTCTTATTCTTTACTTAAGTCATACCTTGACATCCTCTCCGGTGGTGTAGATGTTAGACCCGCACACGAACGTGGTGAGCTTGACGGGGTCAGTTTCAACTGGCAGCTGCTTTTTTTCCATCGGGCCCAGTTTGCCGCCAGCCTTCTTCTTGCCTTTACCCAGGCCCATTACACCTGTACATTGAGTATTTAGGTTTAGTACACAAGTAAACACCATCATTATTATCAGAATGATACATTACGAGCCACTCAATCTCAATACCTACCTCCTGCCGCTGAAGTCTTTTTCACAGCAGCGAAGCAAGAACTGTTTGTATGAAGGTATTGTGAATTTACATTAACTAAAGTTCGCATTTGTACAAAACCCCGACCTATTGCGGATAAATAAGACATTGTAATAACTTTTATCCAATTGATTATTAAATTATTATTTAATTATGATTCCATAAAACTCAATTTATAGGTTATGTTTTCATTATTGTCTTGAAAGCTGTCAATGTCATTTTATAGCACGTTCCGTTTCACTCAACATCAACATTACTCTTTGACTGTATCATATGATGCCTTTGCCTTTCGGTAGAATCATGGAGTTACTAATTATGTGGAGAGGCTCTATTGCATATTGATACAAAACCAAATCGACACAACAAATAATATGATACTATCCGTTCGCTTTAAATTTGCCGCTGGCGATATAACGTCACTCGAAAGGAATCGTCTGTAACTATAACAAACTATGTTTAAAATATTTTTTATTTATTCATCAACAGCCCTTTACAGTCCACTGCTGGACTATGAGCCTCCTCCACTATAGTGGAGGGTTTTGCCATAATCTCCACGCTTGGCAGGTGGGTTGGAGATCGCAGTTTAAAAGATTGATGTTTTTCAGAGAGCGCTGCTGCCCATTCTCTGTTTGATGTGTAGTCCCTAAGTCGCCTCTTACGACACCCGCGGGAAGAGTAGGGGTTGGTGACAAATGTATTCTACTCTGCCGTCACCATTTTATTTATTATTATTGATAAAAATTGAGTATTTGCGTAAAATAAGACACACTAATTGCGTTTAATCACGGTTGGGAGAGGGAACGCGCATTCCATGGACTGGCAAACTTAGCGCGAACGGGTAGTAACAACCAGGCATGGAACATTTCATAAATAGCAGGTGAAAAATCATATGACATGAATTTCATTAATCACCTGCTATTTTACTTCACATAGACTGCCATAATTTCACAGTCAACGAAATCACGAATGACATGAATTTCATTCATTCATTCGAGCGAAGTCCGTGAGGGCAGCTCTGCCAAGCGACCGAGCGAGTAAGAAGGAATGATTTGATCATGTGCGTGTTAGAAAAGGACGAGAGATGTGATGACGAACGAAACTGGGCATTTAAAATATGAACTTTGAGCTTAAGGTGTAAGGTTAAGATTTCCTTGTCCATGATTCGTATGATTTCATTAGATAGCAGGCAGATGAAATGAATGAATTTTCACTAGTAGTCGCGCGGTTATTGATTGTTGCATACATACTGTGCTGTGAAACTGTTTGTTTTTTGTTGTGCGACATAAAATATTGTTACATTTCATATTTAGCTAATTAGCAATCGTTTATCATACTTCATTAAAAGTAGCACATTATATGAAAGAGCTACATTATAACACTGCGAATAAAAATCATTGCCTGTAAAATTTCGCATGTGAAATCATATGAACAAAAATCATCATTTCATAGAATGAAAATAAATGAAAAATAGCAATCATTTCCATGCCTAGTAACAACAACCCATGGTGACGTATGAAAAAAGGAATAGAAATAATGTTTCGTCAGTAGTACTCATTCTGGTAAAGCTAGTCACCTCTTTTTTCATGAGCATTTGATGCGTGCTCAAAGTATACTTGATTTGAGAAAGGAATGGCCGTAGTGTAGGCAAGGCAATAATTAAGCTGACAAAATTTTTGTTTACTCGAAATATTTGTTAACTGATTGCCTATTATAACGGCCATGTTCCTTTCCTATCGTGTACGTACCGAGCACGTTTACTTTACAACTACGCCTGGTCTATAGTACATTAGTTATGGGTAGAAATGTAGAATCGAACCAAATAAAAAACCAATGTCAATGTCATGTGTAAGTTGTCATTAGTGTCAAATGTGATCTTGTCTTTTCTTTGTCGTGATAAAAACGTATTCGTAATATTCATTAATTTCCTAAAACCTAATATTAATTCCGGGCGTATTATTTCTCGTTTGATCAGGTCAAGTTTTTGTTATGTGTTGTTGAGCGGCGCGCTTGCTGTCGTTGTGTTTTCCTGGTGGGTTTTCCTGATGATGATTCATTTTAGTTTATCGTTGCAGTATTTAGTTTTTTAAAGAACGCAGTTCACAATGCTTATTGGTCGCGATTCATGTGATTAAGCATGTTAATTTTATTTTAGTAGTTTTAAATATAAGATGACTCAAGATTTTCAAAGTTCGTTTGATACGTCTACCGATTACACCGAAATACAGGTTTGTACATAACCCTGGATTACTTGCCACGGTTCAGTGCAAGGTCCTTGATTCATATATTTGGCAGTGAGTATGTGTTGTAAATAAACAATTGTATGGAGAACTTACTTTAAGTGATACCTAACTAAAGCTTGTGTAATTTTAGTAAGATGCTAAAATTTCAGATTGTTTATTACTTTAACAAACTTATCTGAAGATTCTATTAAATGTTTTAATTTATCAAATGACATTAAATTCATGTAGCCTTGTAGGTTGGTATTTTTTTGTGAAATTATTTTATAAATCATATCTTACTGAGAAGATTTTAGCCTTTCAAACTCAAGAGAACAAGCATGAGATGTAATGATCAGCAACACACAAAGTCATAATAATATCTGTTGCTAATGTTACTTAGTGGATCTATAAACGTCCAAATATCTTACAATGTTTTTGTTAATAGTTTGGTAGAATATTACGCATTAGGTTGTGCTACTGACAATTGAATTATCTTTAATCTGATAAAATTAATGTTATCATTAATTTCTAAACAACTTTCAGTACTGTAGTGCATGTGTCTGTGGCTTGTGGTCTGTGCCATTAAAATATCAGTTAATTTCTTGTTTCTTTGCAACTTATTTGTGTCGTGCTGTGGTGTTCCTGACTGACAATACGTGAAGTTGTTTTCCGTTACTTGAACAGTAGGTAGGTAGTATAGAATTAATTTAATTATAATTATCAGTGAAATTCTTGTTGGATATGTCATAAATATCAAAACCTCAGAATTCTTTACCATTTTAACCTATTTTGTATTTAATCTTCTTGTCATGTCGGTAACAAACCTATACAGTGTCAGCCCAAAACTACTACAAGTGTGGCAATGTCAGTAACATTCAGTAAATCTTCCTTCATGCATTTTGTATGTAATAGCATTTACTTCTGTGTGCAAAGCAGCGTAATACATTTGGGGTCCTTGCATCATTTTGTGCGAATTGTAAAGTGAAATTGTGCAAAATATCGAAAGACAGAAGAGATCAAGTCCATTTTTGGAGGATTGTCGCAGAGTAAATACAAATGAGTAGGTCATCTTCATAGAAACGCACCGAGCGCGGTTTGTATGTGAGCGCGCCAATATACGTATGCGGCGCGCACGCACACACTGACAAATTTCGGCGCAACCACGACTGGCTCCCCGCTAATCCCCGCTAAATTTTGTCAGTGTGTGCGTGCGCGCCGCATACGTGTTGGCGCGCTTACATACAAACCGCGCCCGTGCGTTTCTATGAAGATGACCTACTCATTTTTGAGTAGACGAAATATTGTTCTGGCTTTAAGACTTCGATCCGGCCACATTCCAACTAGAAAGTTCAAATATTTAATGGGCTTAGAACCTTGTGTGAAGACTGTGGAGTCATTGAAGACGTCGTTCATGTCTTGGTGGAATGTGTCCGGAACGGGCAGGCCAGATCTCAGCTGTTCCAACCTGACGGGTGTTCGGTCGGCAGGTGCAACAGCGTCCTGGCTTCTCCCATGTCGGAGGAGGCGAGAGCCTTATACTGTGTTTTTCTAGATTTTTAGTTTCCCAATTTTAGACAATAAGACACAAATACATTGTACCTAAAATATTACCTATAGTCTGGTCCGTGAGCACGTAGAATTTTGTCCAATGACCCCAAGCTACCCATCCTTATCGCTCGCGCGTAATTATGTTGCTATCGCGCTCGCACACTCACCGCGGGTGCCAGTCGCACAGTCGCGACAGCAATATAATTACGCGCGAGCGATAAGGGTGGGTAGCTTGGGGTCATTGGACAAAATTCTCTGTGCTCACGGACCGGGCTTTAGATATATTGTACCTAAAGTTTTTATCTAATGGAGCGACATTGTCATCTTGACAAAGCTCCTTAAATAAAGAGAAAAAAAAACCTACTCTGGAGTATTGACTCTGGTTGTGGCTCTCAGCACTGGCCCGTGGGCATCATGGAGGCGGTGATCACGGCCGTGTTCGTGCTGAGCATCGTGGTGGTGCTGCTGCTCATGCTGTGCCGCTGCTGCTCGCGCGACAGGTCCCGCGGGCAGGTCATCACGCGTGAGTACACACTACTATTCTAAGGCTGGGTTGCACCATCTTATAGATGACCCACGCTGAACTGTCCCACCAAACTCAATGACAGGGGGGCGCTACCACCGTTCAACTATATGGTTTCCAACATGGCAAAAATCGGAACCAGCGATCCGGTATTAACGGTGGCGCCCCATTGTCAATGTCATGCATAGGTAGGACAGTTCAGTATTTTGGAACTATACTTTTACTATAACAAACGTCAAAAATCTGTCAAACTCTAAGGAGTTGAGAGTCATAATCGGTGCTTTTTATATGTAAAAAACACCGATTATGGTCTTATAGATCGTTTCATCCACGAAGACGCGCCCCACCATTCTTCCGCTAATCTTTGAGTGTTATCGGTACACGCTAAATCATCCATGAGTGCACACGCACACTACAATAATGCCGCTCGGATTGCTCGGGTCAAACTCCCCGCACCCCGCGTGACCGAGACCAAGTAGAATAGGGCGCGCCTTCGTGTCTGAAACGATCTACAAGTAGTTATGGTTAACGTTAGGTGGTGCAACTCAGCCTTATTCTTTATTAGTATCGCTCGTTCGTTAATTTCAGCCAAATGACGTCCACTGCTGGACAAAGGCTTCCCCCAAGGATTTTCACAAAGACCGGTCCTGTGCCGCTCACATCCAGGCACCTCCCGCGACCTTCACCAGATCGTCGGTCCACCTAGTGGGAGGCCTGCCCACGCTACGTCTTCCGCCCCGTGGCCGCCACTCAAGAACTACTACTCTTCGAGCTGTGCCCCGCCCAGCAGTGGACGTCTTTCGGCTGAAACGAACGAAGTATGCTACGTCCTTAAAATGATATTAAGCATGTTGCTAAATGTATCACCGTGTAATATTGTTTCAGCGCCCGCGCCGCCCGGCACCGTGCCCGCGCCATACCCGCAACAGCAGTACTCCACTGGTAAGTTGCTTACTACATACTAGCTGACCCGGCGAACTTCGTACCGCCTATGTTCATCAAAAACAATATAGGTGAATGGTGAAAGAATTTTTCAAATCGGCCCTAAACTATTGGAGCTTAGACAAACAAAAAAAAAAACAATCAAATCTTTCCTATTTATAATAATTATTAGTGTAAAAGACATAATGTTCTCTTATAAGCTACTAATGTTAGGCTTCGTTATGGTGCTATTGTGCATTTGACAGTTTAAACTTTAAAGTTAGGGTCATAATCAACAAAATCGTACGACGCAAAAATTTATAAAAATCTCAATAATTCAAAATATTAAGAAGTATACATATTTTGTCCATTCGCAGCACTCATCAAGCAACTTTCCCTTGGCCTTAAATTCTCCCAGCACTTTCTTTGACTACTCGGACGTTGTGTCGAATATTGATTGGACTGTAGGTACGACAATGTATCGTATTCACTTGTGCAATAAACTCATATTATTATGTACCTACTACAGAGGAGAAACAAAATGAGGCTTTTATTAATAATAGAAAATTACTACCTACACGTCAAATAATAATCAACTTATTGATCGGACTTAAAGTAGTTCAGTGTAATATGTTTTTAATTATAGACCAATTTTCAAAAATATATTTTAAAAATAGGTTCTTAATCGCGTAAGGAAGTAAGATAACTGATTCATTTTCCTAGTAGAGCTCGAATATCGATATTAATCTCACGTCAAGATGGAAATATCCAAGCAAGATAAAAGATCATTGTGCAATATGTACATAATTCTTATTTGCTTTGGAATACGAAGAGATTATGGCTTTCATGTAGAATACTTTTCGTAATTATGATTTTACTGTGCAAAGAATCGCATTATTCAAATAAAAATAAGCTGGTATCGGTTAGTACTGAGGAGAATAGTGGTAATGGAGATAAATATTTCAATGTAAGATAAATTTTGTGATAAATATTTGATTCATCACGGGAAATATCATGTGTTGGCTCTCTTATCGTAAACACGCGTCGCGCCTGTATCTACGTGTTGATGATGTCATGTGTAAATTCAAGCTCCCACTTATATTGCGGGGAAGCCCCGACTAACGATATCGGAGTTCTTGATTCGAGACAAGTAGGTCACGGTGAGTCAAATATTAAAGAAAGTAATGTTTGGTAAAGTGGAAGTGGAATTGAAATAAACACTAATTTTATAAACAGAACTGCTGAACATGGCGCTTCACTTTTCGCGATCCAAGCTGGTGGATGAGTGAGAGCTTGTTCTCACTTGAAGGGTGTCAGACCCGGATCTTAATCAGGTGTCGGCGCTCCGTCGCTGTCAGTTCAAAAGAATGTATGATATACCAGTAGGTTTTCAGGAGACACAAAAAACTATATTTTTTAAATTTGGATTTGGCATACGTCCTTTTGAACTGACATCAAGGGCTCGAAGCTGGTTGGTGTGCTATTTTTACTCTAGCAATTTTTATTCTGGGTGACGAGCCGCACAACACCCGACATTTCTAGTCGACATAGAAACAAAATCGGTCTTTGACAAGTCTAACCAGCTTGATATAAAATGCTCCCACATAGAAACACGCTCTCACTTAAGAAAACCAGCTACTCTGGCTACTCTGAAACGCTGTTCACGTAGTTTCGGGTCTGTCTGTCATCGTCGCTCATGCTGGCATCTTACTTTGCGTGAGAGAGATGGCAACAATCGATACTTCGGATAACGTTTTTCGGAGTAACACCAACTTATTATTATTCTGTGGTAACACCACTGATGTAGAATAGAATAGACTTTTTTCAACACAGTAAGTAGTATAATTTATAAACAATAACAACACAACACAAAAAGAAAGAAAAAATAGTGGACCACTGCGCCAATAGACCGCTCAGTATTTATCTTGACATGCCTGTAAGTAAGGGCATGGCAAGAAGCTGGTCTTCCACGGAAGCCCTTGTTGTGGCATAGCGCATCTCTTCGGAGATACACCGACTCGGGCCGATTCATCATCATCATCATCTCAGCCATAGGACGTCCACTGCCGAACATAGGCCTCCCCCAATGCTTTCCATGTTGCCCGGTTGGTAGCGGCCTGCGTCCAGCGCTTTCCTGCTACCTTTATGATGTCGGTCCACCTTGTAGGTGGACGTCCCACGCTGCGTTATCCGGTACGCGGCCTCCACTCCAGAACCTTGCTGCCCCATCGGCCGTCAGTACTGCTTACTATGTGCCCTGCCCATTGCCTCGAGCCGATTGTGATTGTGTTATTTTCCGCAGTAGTGACGACGTACCCGGTGGCGCAAGCGCCGTACCCGGCGGCGCAAGCACCGTACCCGGCGGCGCAGGCCCCGTATCCGGTGGCGCCGTACCCGGCGGCGCCGGTGGGCATGCCGACGCCCGGCGCCGGCGCGCCGTACCCCACCGCCATGCCCTACCCTCACCCGCAGCCGCAGCCGCATATCGCGCCGAGCGCGCCCGATGCTAACGGTATGTATTTTGTAGTACTATCAGGCCTGTTCATCTCCGCGAGTTTGCATCGAAAACAAAACACGCGCGACTACCCCTCCTGAGATACCAAATCGACAGGACAATCACGAGCGAGTATTGACGCACGCACGTATTCTTCACCCATTTGCATTGTAAAAACAATAAACCATATGTAAAAACGGTGGTGCAATTAATACTGTGCAGTATTTTTTAACTGCCTGAATAATATTAGAAACACAAAATATAATTCATGCTTATTCATGTATTTCCTCCGCCATTTTTCGCAATTTGGCACCTCACGTCACACATCATTTTACCGAAGTCAGCCCCTATCTTCGGCGCAGTACCGATCACTGACGTTTGTCAACAAAATGGTGCTCGACTCTTGCAACAAGCTAAATTACACCATATTGTTAACGACATTGAGCGTACATTTTTTTAAATACCTTCGCGAAGAAAATCTTCTGTACGAAGTACTTATTATTATTCTGTGGTACTATGACGTATGTGCATCTTTATTTAATGTTTACTTTTAAGGTGTACCCCGACTACGCAATGTAGTTATCGTTAACATTTTCAATTATTGTGTTATTTACGATTAATTGGTGTGGATCATATTATTATACTAACGTAATGGTATATAGTCACAAACTCTAATATGGAACCTATTTAAAGTTGAATATCGTAGCTCGTCAAACGTAAATATGATTAAATATACGTACGTAGGTATGTGAAAATGAAAATGAAAATATTTATTGCCAGAATCAAACAATGCAATAAGTAAAAGACAGACCTCCACACTATTTAATCATGTATAACATTTTGGTGGGGGCATGAATGTTATACTAAAATAGTTTTCCTTAGACCGTCTTTTTGTTGAACTATAAGCTCCGACTCGAGTGAATCATTTACTCTGATAAAATATCTCTCTGTACACGTAAATATCAAGATTAAATTGATGGAAGCAGCGATAATGGCAATTTAAATTTAACATTTACACAAATATTTGATGTATTACTAAGTCAAACGCTTTGCATAGCTGTGTGTCACGCTCTGCTTCATTGATAACGATAAAAGTTATCATATATTTTTTAAAACCGCGTAGGTACCTAATGTTTGTTTTAATATCATATAACGTCACTATCGTGTTACAGTAGCTATTTAAATATTTAAAGAATGAACAAAAATGTAGCTATGATGTTAAAAAGGGATGGACAAGACAGGGCAAGGTACACAAATAAAACGTACATGGGCAAATCTTTGATTATGAAGCAGACATCAAGGTGACCAACTATAATAGTTTAAGAGCGCGTATCCTGTTAAATTTGGTTTGAATAGGATGTTCGCAGAAAATAATATATCTGTTTAATATGCTTATTTGTATGCCACTTATTCGTTATTGTTTAAGGTGCTCATGCTGTGGCATAATGAATACTATCTGCATCTGCGAACCGATTAGATTATTGTGGCAAGTCAACAATTACAGTTTTGGAATATTTTGTTTATAAAAGTTATTAATATTATCCTACAAATAACATTGAAATAACTTACATTGAAAAAATACAGAGTGAGCAAACAAAGCGCTAATTCCTGTGGGGTCTCATTTAAACGTTGCAAAATCGTAAAATAAACTAAGTAACTTTAATGCCAACTAGCAACTGTGTGACTATTATTAGCGATACTAACAGTAGCAACTAGCAAGTCTGTTGATATCAATAAATAGGTATTGTATCAATTCGCGTTACCGGTGCAGAATAACTGTTGTTTACTTTACAGTCAACGCGTGACGCGGTGGCTTCCCGCTTTGTTTATGCAGCCATTGATCGATGTATTTATTTTGTGTTGATAGAGACACATTATCTAATTTAAGCACTTTTTTTTTCAATTTGGAATGTTATATATTGCTACTGCTTAAGATCGCAGTGTTTATATATTTGTAATATAGGTTAATAAACCTTTTAATTGATTTATGATATTTAACGTAGGAACCGATTTATTACTACATATTAAAAACCCGTTAGCGCGATGCACGCGGTAACTGTGCGTAATCTACCAACTCAATGTATTTATTTGCTGCTTTATTTTTATTATTTATGTTTAAAATATAAATATTTTATCTCGATACCAATGCGTAGTTCTTTTTGTTCCTAAGCTAGGATCCACCTGCTCGTGTATTCGCGTTGTCCCCCACTGATGGACATCTGGAAAAAATGATCGTTGGACAAACTTTTTTTCCCAATGTCCGCCGGGGACAAATGGTGGGGGACAACGGGAATAAGCCCACAAACGTAACGTTAGTTTGTTTAAAGATAAAGTATAATCAGCAAGAAGTTTTATTTACACAAAAAGATGAGCAGGAACGATTCTAGATGAACCTATAGGATTATGTGGGCATAGCTTAATAGTTTAACTTTATTGGTTAAGGGCTGATTTTTCAATCGTCAGATATCTTTTAACTGAAGTATAACCTTGTCATTTTGACATATTTCTCATACTAAGCCTAGGCGCAGACCATCGATTTTTCGTCGGCCGGTAGTTTAGTCAGGCAGTTGATCAGTATGGGCATGTATGGAAGTGCGCAAATTACACCGATTTGATTTGGCCGATTATTCATACAAATTAAAATCGGGCCCAACTATCGGTCAACTAAGAATCGGTCGTCTGCGCCTAGTCTAAAAAAGTCAATGTGCCAAACTTATTCTTCAGTTAAAAGTTATCCGACATTGAAAAATCAGCCCTAAGGGTGTTGAGGTTTAGGGTAAAATGTCCGATACACTGACATAACTAATGCACTAATTTTGTGTATAGTTTTCTTTGGGATGGCCCCGCCTGGATGGAACACGCAAGGTATTGACGCACTAACTTACATAACAATTATGTGTATTTGCATCCATTTATGGTTTGGGTTTTGACGTTGACTCACCCTCATTATTCACCGTCCGGAGCGCTATAATTATCTATTTGATATGGTATTAAGTTATTAAAATGCACCATTATCTACAAGCTTTGCGATAGTAGTGTAATTCTTTCAACTCGGCTTTATCACTCACGCATTCTTCGATCGCACCTCATTTATTTATTTTCTTTATTAGGCGGTTATCACACTGCGCCGCGCTCCGCCGCGGAGCGCGTGATTTTCATATAAAAAATCACGCGCGCGGACGCGTTGTCAGTGTGAAGTGCCGCGCGTGTTTTCTATACAAACTGAGGTACTTGCATACAATGATTAAATCTGTCGCCCCGCGCTCCGCGGCGGCGGAGCGCGTGATTTTCATATAAAAAATCACGCGCGCGGACGCGTTGTCAGTGTGAAGTGCCGCGCGTGTTTTCTATACAAACTGAGGTACTTGCATACAATGATTAAATCTGTCGCCCCGCGCTCCGCGGCGGAGCGCGGCGCAGTGTGATAACCGCCTTAGGAAAACATTCAGCATACTGTAATACAGGTAGCATAATCAATTAATGCTGTTATCCTCGTACTTAAAATCCGCTACTTGTTTTTTTTTACGCTTTTTTATTATTACTTTTGTTTTGATCTGTTCTCGTGTGAACCAGCTGCTCGTTCTCAGGGTAAAAATGAGCAAAGTATTGAATTAATATTAATTACATACTTACGGAATGTAAAATTACGATGTTTCAACAGCTCGCTTAGTTTACTTTAGCTACTTTCATAGCCTAATGTCATATGGAATCATGCTATGGGGCAAAGCTGCAGATTTTGAAACAATATTTATTTTGCAAAAACGTGCGATAAGATACTTGTATAAAATGAAAGCAAGAGCGTCCCTTAGAGAATTGTTTAAAGAAATTGGCATTCTCACGGCCGCTTCACAATACATCTTAAACTGTATTCTATTTATTCAACAAAATATTAATGAATTCAAAAAGAAAAGTGATATTCACCAAATTAACACTAGAAATAAAAATAAATTGGCTATACCCGCTTTTAGACTTAATAAAGTGTTTGCCACTTTTATGGGACAAGGTATCCATTTTTATAACAAAGTCCCTGATAAATATAAAGAGCTACCGTATAATAAATTTAAAGGTATAGTTAAAGATCACATGCTTAAAAAAGCCTATTATACAACTCGAGATTTTCTTAATGATAAGTCATCCTGGGAGTAGGATTATGGTCCTCTCATGCTCGCACTAAAAATAATTAAAATGGAAAGTAATGTATAAACTAATAATAATTTCTCAAATGTTATAGTGTCATGCTTCTCAATCTGGACTGTTACTTAGCTTTATTATTAGTTTTTTTTTTTAAAGAGATAACTTGGAATTGTCATTCTCACTAAAATGTCTCTGGGGTGGTGGCGTAGTGAGGCGGGTCGTTACATTCCCTCTAATATGGTCGAGTGAAGCGATGGCTGGTTCACTCGTCATGTCTGTGAACAGGCGCTGCTTTCGGGGACTGGTCAATCCAAGTTATTCAAATTTATGTATGCGAGTCATTTCTACTAGTATCTTAATATGTAAGTCTAGATATTAGCACGTCACTACCTTGTTTAATATACCACGCAATCTTGTATACCCATTCTTATAAGATACACCATACAAGAATGCATGGTAAATTCAGTGAACTGCTCCTGAATCGAATGTACCTACTACTACTATTTATATTTATTTATATTAACCGGCAGACAGTGGTGACTGAGTTTGTTGCGGCGCTTCTTCTCAGCACTTGCCAAATGTTGGTCTCGAAGCGCTGGTAGGGTAAAAAGATTATGAGACTTGTAGAGGCTCCTTAAGAGCAAAATGACGATTTGTAAGAACTATTTATTAGTCTAAACAAAAAAAAAAAAAAAAAAAACTTGTCCAGTTTAAAAGAGGATACTGGACGTCCTCAAAAATATCCTAAGCTTTTTTGTGATTTCAACATCGAAATTATAAACCACTTAAATCAACATAATGTCATGGTCATGGCGTATGTATACAGCTAGTTTATAGCTTCTCGTCCTTTGTACGTTCATATTACTTTCACTTTCGTTATCACTCAAGTAATTGATTCGTTATCAACGCGATTCATATGAGTAGGTATTTATTATTGTACTCGGGTGGGTGACTCTTACCAGTTATAAAAAGCTCATACCGTGTTATTGGCATTAAGTTACAACTATTATACTGATATTTGTGAACAGCTGTCAGTTTTCGGTATCGAATCCTGGACCTCTCGCTCGTTCACCACCACTGAAACACGGAAGCACTTGCTGCCTGTATTCCACATACGCAAAATATTTACGAAATTTTACCTTCATGGAAACAGCTTGCAAACAAACTGCAAATAGATCTATATTGTTAGGAATTAGTCAAATATAACAAATAATTTTATTTAAAGAATCAATTAATATTAATATGACGTATAAAACTCAGTAGTGCAACAACATGCGTTCTTAAAATCACTAACCTTTCGCTATCGCTGTTACGAACCTTTAATTAAGATATCGCATTAGTTAATAAGCAAATCTATTCTGTCGAACTATATTGTTTGCTTTGCGACTATCGCCCACGCACATTATGAAGGTATTCCGAAAGTGGCGATGAGCAACATTTCCTATAATTTCTATTTACGTATGCGAGTCAGATATGTATTAAAACAACTTTATTTTTTAACAATTTTTGTGATAGAGCATAATTTTATTGTTGGTTTGATGTGGTGTCATTAGTTTAATTTTTATCATAACTGTTTGAATTTTGTATGATTTTATATCTTTGCATGAAATTATCATAAGTTGTAACTGTGCTTGTGTGTTAGTTTTGCATGTTTGTTGTGCGACGTCCGCCGCGGCGCGCGTGTTTGCACTGTACTAATTTGGTGGCGGATGGCTATTGCTGTGTTTGTATTAGGCTTAGTTACTCGTACGTTACTACATCACGCGTAATGGAATGGCTGTTTGGATTAGTTGTCTGTCTCGCCATTTTATTATAGTAAATCGTGTAACTTAATGGCGGCTAACTGAAGCAGGTTATAAATTAACAGAAACATGAAACACCTTCAGATTTTGTCGTAGAGTGCCTTTTTATTATCCATAAATGGTAATCACGGTTTAAATCGGTGAAATGACCTCAAATATTTACTATGCACAGAATAGATTAGTAAAAAATCCTGAATCATCCAAGGTCACTCGACAAATAGTTGGCAATGAATCGTCTTCCAAGTTTGATTAGATTTGTGACGTTAAGATTCTTGCGCGACATTGAGCAAGAGACTGAGCCCGACCTACATCGATTTCATTGAAATTCTTTTTTCAGTATTAGCTAGTACATCACTTAACTTTATCTCGAATTACCAGCCAATTACCAGAACGTTGCGTACACTTAATGTAGTAACTAGAATCGTTGACATATCCAGCTATTCTTTGACTGAATTCACAAAAGTTACATTAATCTACTCTATCGCATTGGGGTAAACTGTACTGTTAGAGCTAAGATTGTTATTAAATAAATAAATAAATAAATCTCCTCAGTTGGATTTCTAGCGCTTACTCAGTCAGAGCCTGAGGTGTTTTTGTAACGTCAAAAGTCAGCGAGACTTCAGATTTGTATGATCAAGTCATAGTCAATGACACCCCTCCAGTGCCGCTCCCCTGCCTACCTCAGGCACTGACTAAGTGCTAGACATATAGTATAGCTATAGCTAAAACGATCTGTTGTCTGTTTGCAGCGCTGCCGCCATCTTACGAGCAGGCGACGGGCGCGGAGTTCAAGCACGCCACGCCCTACAACCCGGGCTACTAGCTTCCCATTAACTCAAGGGATGTCGCCGGTTCCCCCACTAGTCGCCGCATGCCTGTCTTTTTGACACATCATAACTGCCATTTTAGTGCGTCACTGCTGTCAAAATGGGGCCTCGTAGCTGTCAATTTGAGGCCTTAGGGCCTTGGCAGTCCGTAATCGTCTTTTTGATGTTTCTTCTTGATCGTCGTTTTGACGCTTCAAAGCTGTCGTCGTGAGGCGTTAATGATCCGCAATTTGTTTTCAAATATTTTTTACATTGGTGCTGTGAATATACAGACCATTCAATCAATATGATCAACTTGACAGTTATATGTATAAAACCATCATTCCATATAAGTAATGGAATCGATATTCGTCGACACGTAACGAAAGCGGCATAGCGTCATTCCCGGTCAGTTGTGATGGACTTAAACAAACGGCGAGTACGGTTGAATCGACATGTGCTATATTATACTTGATGTATTCTAAATGTGATTTATGTAAGCTTATGTAAAATTTGAGATTTATTTTTCATATTTTAAGTAATAAGTAATGGAAACCGAAACTGTTAAGAGGAAAATCTATGTTTTAAAATTTTCCCTTTCTAATTAATGCAGGCGTTTAAATGAGGAAAATATGTTCAAGTGATGATTGAACTAATACAAATATAAATAACTGTAAAGGTAACTATTCTGCGCACTCTATTGCTCAGGGATTTCAAGTTACCTTTTAGACTGTATTTTTTGTAATAGCATTGAGCTTAGCGAGTAAGTGTAATAGTAGGCGCACACCGTTGATTTTTAGTTGGCCGATAGTTGTGCCCGATTTTAAATTGTATGAAGAATCGACCAAATCGAATCGGCGTCGTGTGCGCACTCCCATACATGCCCATACTGATCAACTGCCCGACTAAACTATCGGCCGACGAAAAATCAACGGTGTGTGCCTACTCTAAGTGTAACATGTGCGGGCGTCACGACCCCATGTATTACCAAAGTGTACCTGTTTCGCATAGGTAGATCTTTTTAAAGCATTTTCCCCATTAGAAATGATATCTTTTAATCATAACGTTGAGTTTATTTGATAAAAAGCTTTGTTCCGAATTTCTTAAGTACAGGGTCACAATTTTATTTTTCTACGTTATTTCGGTAGACTTACTTTTGGTATTTGTGTAGTTCAGTAAAATACAACTAGATCAGAACTGTTGCAACTCGAAAACGCGTAAATATTAAGTTAAGAACTGGTAAATTTAACATGTACGTACATATCGTTATTAGCAAACTCAAAAGTTATCGTAACTAAGTAATCAGACAAAAAATACTACTTTCTTTTGTATTGTTTGGCAGTTCCAACCTCGGAGTCCGATTTAATGAGTCGCTTCTTTCTTTCGCCTGAAATAATGAAACGTGCCTTTTTCGTATCGCGGTATAATCTTAAATGAACTTTTAATTTAAGATTTTCAAATATGTATTTGAGTAGTTAGGAATATAAAAAACGCTTTTTGCAGATTGTGAACATGTTTGTAATATTAGTGGTCCAGTTTTGATCGAGGCGGAGTCTCACAGGCTCGCAGTATGATGCACCTCGGGCCATCTGTGGTCTAGTCGAAACGTACATGTTGTAACGTATTTAGGACTGACAATAAAGACGTAAATGTAGTGAAGACAAAATGTGACTATTTTTTTGTTTATTGGCTCAAAAAATTATCCCATATGGTTATTTTTTTAAATTAATAATTCAACAAAATGGATCTATGATTCGGTTAAGATTTAACTCTTATGGCGTTCTTATTATACTTGAAATTATGAAGTTATAGTTCCACAGCATTTGCTGCCCTTCTACTTACATTTAGTTGTATCGGTGCTTATGAGAAAAGGCTTATAGGTAGTTTCAAGTTCAGTTTTTTAAATTACTTTCTAATTAGTGTCTCCATTTAAAACTAACATTATAAATATCTGAGAATCAGACCCACGAACTGAGCTTATTATACTTCCCAAAGCTCATTTTTAATAATATTTTATAATTCTTAAATGTAAGTATACAAGAATAAATCTATATAAATATTTAAGAAATTCATTTTTCTGTTGTAGTGAAATAATAGTGAAAATGTTTTAATACTCTGGTGTCAAAATAGAATAATGATCCTCAATAGTTAGCGACACGGTATCCACTCAAGCGCCGCTCGCTACAGTCAGTCTGTGTCGCTGGCGCGCTACTACTTAATCATAGCAAAATAATATAAAAATAACTCTTCAATGTATACTTGTTGTTGGTGTTCTTATGAGTTTTATATTGCTAGTTGACAGTTCAGTACATAAATGAGTAAGACTAGGCGCAGACCATATCGATAGTTGTGCCCGATTTTAAATTGTATGAAGAATCGGCCAATTTGAATCTGCGTAATGTGCGCACTTCCATACATGCCCATACTGATCAATGGTCTGCGCATAGTCTAAATAAATAAAATATACATAATATTCACTAGGATTCAAAGCCCGACATGATTCCGTACTATTGCGTATGAACCTGACATTATTGTGTATGAATCGATATAAACAGAATGTAAAAACTAAAAATGTTTCGGGCTTTTTTATTCAGCATTTATATGTTGTTACTTGTAGCGGAGTAAGTGTTAAGAGAATGTGATAACGTGGACGATTCGGGTTCGTGGAGTGTAATCATGTAATCACTGTTGTTGTAATGTACATAATTTTATTAAAACCAAAATGTTAAATAATAAGTATTGATTTCCAAAAACTTCCTTTCGTATATTTTTATGTGATTACATTTTTTTGTAAAATTCTAAAGTACCTTTTAAGTTGACTGTGAGGTCTATTTGTAAGAATGCATTCATTTATTTTACCAAAATAAAAGTTTATACTAAATGACATCTATTTTTCATTTTATTTCCTAATTATCATCTACTACGAGTATATATAAAGGTAGCAACTCGCAACCAAAGTTGAAGGGATTGTTATTTAATAAGGTACTCACACTGGACGTAATATTACAGGAAAATACACAACACATTCATATCACAAATACTCTAGCTACCTCGCTCTTGCCAAATATAAAGGGGGTGTGCAAACGAGACAGAAAGCGCTTGACTGTCAGACCCACACGGTAGAGCGTGTCTCCAAAAGTGTTGATCGCCTCAACTCTCACAGCGCGACCTTTTGCCTATTATATTATCAGAATGTAATGTTGGTACTTGGTATGCCTCAATAAATAAATAATTAAATGTTTTTTATGGTCAAGTAATCGACGCCTGATGGTACCATCCCCATCAGGAATCCCCATGGAAAAAAACTTCTTTGAATTTGAAACTACATTCTGCTCAATGAATTGTGAGTGCTGTAGAAAGCATTATCTAAATTACACAATCCTACTATTCCTACTATAATATTATAAATGCGAAAGTTTGGATGTCTGGATATTTGTTACTCTTTCACGCAAAAACTACTGAACGGATTTTGATAAAACTTTATAGTATTATTGTTTATAACCCAGAATAACATATAGGCTATAAATTATGACGATCTGTGACAAACTAAATTTCACGCGGGTGAAGCCGCGGGCAAAAGCTAGTTATTACATAAATGTAAGCTAACTTGTATTTTAATTAAATAAATAAAAACCAACCGAATTGAGAGCCTCCTCCTTTTGTTGAAGTCGGTTAAAAATGCGAAGTAACAAGCGCAGGCTGCTACGGCGCGCTACGGTTTGCTACGGCGCGGTTCGTAACAAAAGCTTCGTGCTACGAGATAGATCCGGGCGGGCGGGCGGTCATCCAGTGAACGTAATAATGTTGTGTTTAGGTATTTATAACATAAAATAGGCAGCTTTACTGAATCTGAATATGGTAACTAAAATGAGTTATTTAAAATCAAAACGGTAAATATTACATCTTTGAAAAATGTTTAAACTGGTGCACATTTTGCTTCCTTAGAAAAAGTAGAGCATATGGGTAAACTGATTACATAATTCAGGAACGGTTCAATAAATTTTGAAACGTGTCAGATGAAAATAATAAACATTTATGTGGTTATTTAGGACATCGTGGTTGTTGGTCTCTCGCGCATGCGGCCGGCGCGGCGCCGCGCTGGCGCCTCCTTTACGCGCCAGTAGGGCTGCTGCGCTGATCATGTTTCATTCAAAATCAAAATCATTTATTCAGTTTAGACCACAAGTGGCCCTTATAAACGTAAAAAAATAAAAAAATAAAAGGTAGCCCTTATGGGGCACTTTACATGTCTCCTTATCTTTTGGGCCCTACCAGCGCTTCGAGACAAACATATTATTATGGCAAGTGCTGAGAAGAAACGCTGGAACAAACTCAGTCACCACTTATTGCCAGGAATGGGCTAGTTTCCTAAAAAAAATTTTTTACTCCGTCATGTTTAATATCAAAAAATATTGTACACATATATTTTTATTTGTCAATCTGACAAATAATTACATAGTTATGGTGCGTTAAAGTTCCGCACGACGTCACAACGTGCGGCACTTTTATGCACGCATTGACGTCACGGGCCTCTTCTTATGAACTTTGGCGCGCTTGATCTCTTTAAATTTTCATTAGTTTGAAAAAGTGAAAAATACGTGTAGAGTATTTTTTGATAAGTTAACTGACGGACTAATTAAAACTCTTGCTTTTTGACCCAGGAAACATCCCTATTATCTAACGGTAAGAATAGCCAAATTTAAGTAGTATCAAATATGTGCGGACTGAACTGACCACGCATCCTTGTCATCAATATAGTCTCGAACCTTGTAGTACCCTTTGGACATAAGGGTATTTTTTATATGTATCTTAAATTTGTTTATTGACAATTCGACAAGGTTGTGTGGTATTTTGTTAAATATGGTAATACATTTCCCCAAGAATGAATCACCTATTTTATGCAACCTAAATGATGGAACAGCAAGTTTACTCTTATGTCTCGTGTTAAATGGGAATCGTTCTTTGGGAATCGTTCGTTTCAGCCAAATGACGTCCACTGCCGGACAAAAGCCTCCCCAAGGTTTTCCACAATGAACGGTCCTGCGCTGCCCACATCTTTTGGGAATCGATAAGAGTTAATTTGCAATGATAAATGTTATATGGACAATTAGGTAATTGAAGTTTCACAAAATATTAACACTACAGTTTTGCAACAGTCGATGCCAATCAAGTGTTTGCCGGGATACCTCCCTCAGATTTTGTAGATGGGGTAATTAGATTAGCACTACGCCGTTTAAAAAATAAAGTTAGTACTTCGGTATATTAAATCTTACATAGTCGTTGTTAAACCAATAGCTTACATGTATCTATGTTAATGTGCAGTGTAGGTACAGTTTAGTGTAACCCGGCAACTTATCCTAATTAACATTCTATGTAAGGTATTCCTATACCTATGATTTGGCTCCTGCCAAATCATTCTACGATATATCGTCCATTTGCGACGACAACGTGACATCTTCTGTGTTAATCTTATTGAAGATGTCACACTGTCGTCGCAAACGGACGATATGTAAAATATGTTGTCGGCCGTTTGGTGTAGTGGTTCAGAACGGACTACTATGCCGAGAGGTTCCGGGTTCAATTCCCGGCTGGGCAGAAATTGAAATGATGAATTTTAATTTCTGTGACGGGTCTGGGTGTAAATATGTATAATATGTATGTATTTAATAAAAATAAAAATAAAGTATATAAGTAGTATATCCGTTAAGCTAGCACCCATAACACAAGCATTGAGTTGCTTACTTTGGGGCTAGCTGGCGCTGTGTGAAATTGTCCAAAGATTTATTTATTTATTTATTTATTATGTAAAAGGCTTAGTAGAGATTCTGGCGGCATGAGATCAAAGGACGAATGGCACCCCTGAGCAGTCCTTTGACGCGGCGCCGGCGCGGCGCGGCGGCACTTGTTGCGCGTGGCTCCTTGAGGAGCCGAGCGTTTTCCTGCTAGAGACGCGAAACACACTGTGTCGGGAATGTAGTCTAGGGGACAAGCGTATTGTTGGCCATAAGAGCTTATTAGTAGTTCGTTTGGTCTGTTTTGGTTGCAACTACTTACAAAATTAACAAAATGAAACCGTGTTCAATTTTCGGCATTTAAATGGCTATTATCTCGGAACCTTTACGATAGTGAGCAATGTGTATGCACAATGCACATGCTGCCCATTATGGGAAAACGTACAAACCATAAGCAATAGAAATTAGGGGAATAATCTCACGTAAACGACGTTTGAGGGGCCGAGATCAGTTTTTTTACTCTACTATGGGCGCTTAGATCCTGGCTACACAGGAGTTGCAGTGGTGGGAAAGAGAGGTGGGAATAGTCCCGTACTATGGGCGCTTGCTAAAACTTCTCAAAGATCAACTCTTCGCTAGACCTTCTATCTCTTGGACTAACGGGACACTGTGCAGAGAGGAATCGTTCCGTCAAAAGGACGCAGCTGCCATCATCCTTAACGGACGACGTCTGCGTTCGCCGACCGCGCCAGTCTGATGGGGTCCATGGGAAAATGATGTGACGTACAACATTTGTAGCTTTTCTAATTTTATACCAATCGATATCAAGGGAGATGGGATCAAGATTTAAACATTTATGTATTTAAGTTTTATGTAAAGTTAAGATAAAGTTTTAATTCGGTAACGAAGATTTATGAACTTTTTTACGTTCTGTGAAAACTGTGATAAGTGACCCATTTGGAGTGTTCAATAAACCATCATTAGAAACTTGTTATAACAAGGTGAGTACTAAGTACCAAGTAGTTAAGAAAATAATTATAATCTGGATTTGGAGGATACAGTTACTGTTCTCTAATATCATTCAACTACGTCATATTCTACTACAACTACATAATAATATGTAACATGGTTCCTTCACGAAACAGCAGATAGCATAAATATTTCATGCTTTCTGCTAAACTAAATTATAGGGACTGAAAGTACATATGACTCTTGAAAGATTTTTAATAGGTTAAATCTTTGATGACTCATATAGCCTTGAAGGTTTGCTAATCTTACAATGATGCGCCATCACAGTTAAAACTGGCTAGAAGTTAGATAGAAGAACTCTTGTTCTATTGTTAGTTATTTCAATTTGTTAAATATTTAACACATTGGGAACTAAGTAGTGATGATGTTTCTCTCGAGGCTTTGGTAGCTAGCTACCAAACGACCCATTAAATAGTTTGCTAAATCTTAGCTAATTAAAATTGTACAATTTAGATTAAGTAGTTAGTGGTTTTTTATTATGTAGTAAATTATGGTACGAGTATCGCTTCAAAAAGCCTCACACATGGATTTCCACAACGACCTATCCTGCTGTACACAGGCAAGTACCATTCCCATGACTTCATCCAGATCTTCGGTCCACCGAGTGGGAGGCCTGCCTACACTACTTTACCGTTATATGGTCAGTATTCATCATTTCAGTCACAGGACGTCCACTGCTGAACATAATCCTCCCCCAATGATTTCCATGATTACCGGTTGATAGCGGCCTACATCCAGCACCTTCCTGCTACCTTTATGAGGTCGTCGTCGGTCCACCTTGTGGTCAGTGTTATCACCTCTAAAATGTATCCGTGGTGTCGAAAGCCAGCCAGCAGGCTTGGCGATGGGCGTGGGCGGTCGCGGCGGCGGCGCGCGGCCTCCGAGCCACGTGGCGTACTACGTGGCGCTGGCCGGCATCCTGGGCCTGCTGGGCATGCTGCTGGCCTACTTCGCCTGCTTCTGCGTCAAGAGGGTCAAGGGTAACCACGGCGACCACTCGATCTTTCACTTTTCTTATGACCCGTTCACTTCAGCTCTTGTAGTTTGTAGGCTCATGTAGTCTCCCTGACAGTGGTAGCAAATTTTATTGCCTCTAAGGCTGGGCACTGAAATATCTAATACAAGTGCATCTAAGTTAGTATTTAGTAGTGTTAGTATTTTTTCTTTTTTCAATCTTTATAAATCACAATATTTTTTATTTAGCAGTACTTTATGATACAGACACAATACATTTCTTGCCAGTATTGAATCATCGCTTGTGTATTATTTCCAGTATTTTTTTTCAAATGCGCAATGAAAGCAATCTCACTCAAAGGTACACAGATATGGATCCAACGCTTTGGGCTGTATGAATGTCGAGTAACATTTGGTATAGTAGAGAAGTACATATTGTTTGTAATTTTTTCTCTCCCTTACTTTTGTCAATATTTGAACCTTCACGTAGTGTAGCGCAGTCTGTAGAGTAGCACGTTATGTGTGTTGTAGCGTATGACCGGCAGGCGCGGCAGTTCCAGGTCTACGCGGGCCCCTGAAGATCCTGAAGGTTGGTGTAGAATTTTCAACTAGTGCTTTTTTGGTACCTTGTCCGGTGAAACTGAAAAAGCCGCTCACGGCTATCAGCAAGGTCCTTCCGAAAAAAAAAAAGCTTTTTGATACCATTATGCTTCGTAGAATTTTTAAAGTAGATGCTGTATCTGAAGCTTAGTCTAGCATAGTATACCTAATAATGAGTATTGATTCTTATTACTCTTACAATATATGGATCTGAAACGTGGTCGCTTACTATGGGCCTCATAAGAAGGCTCAAGGTCACCCAAAGGGCGATGGAGCGGGCTATGCTCGGAGTTTCCCTGCGTGATCGAATCAGAAATGAGGAGATCCGCAGGAGAACCAAAGTGACCGACATAGCTCGCAGATTGCTAAAATCAAGTGGCAGTGGGCGGGGCACATAGCTCGTAGAGACGATGGCCGTTGGGGCAGAAAAGTTCTCGAGTAGCGACCACGGGCTGGAAGACATAGCGTGGGCAGGCCTCCAACTAGGTGGACCGACGTTCTGGTGAAGGTCGCGGGAAGAGCCTGGATGCGGGCAGCGCAGGACCGTTCATTGTGGAAAACCTTGGAGGAGGCCTTTGTCCAGCAGTGGACGTCATTCGGCTGAAACGAACGAACTCTTACAAGCACATAATGATTCTGCGCGCAAACTAAATTAATAAACGTACTTGTGCAATGACGCCGTAACCTGTGTTTCTTTATAGCAAATTAAACTTTTCCGGCGTTAATCATTAGGTAAGTGAAAAGTATTGCAATCTGCTTAGTAATTGTGTGGTACCTGACATTATTCTCGTGTTCTAGAACTGGTGCAACAAGACTGTTCGTCGCAGACGCACGTATCAGCGCGCCCGCCGCAGCCCGTCACCACGACCTACCCCGTGCAGCCAGGTCAGCGAGCTTTGTATTATTTTATCCTAATCGAAAGAATTCAAGAACCTTGTGCCAAACTGTATGAGGCTACTCTAAGTAGAGGTGGACTTGTGACAATCTTCACCAGACTTTTGCAGCTCATAATCAACTTTCTTAGCGAACATCAAGCTCATTCACCCTACGATATCTGGTTCAAGCACATTAAAAAGTGTGACTAGGATGTGGTTAATTAATCACTCGCTGATGAGGCATTGCATCGGGTTAAGATTTTCAAGTCTTGCGTGAGGCAATAGATTGCCATAAATTGTTTTTGCGGAGCAAATACTTGAAATATTGTGCTTTGGATTGACGTATTCCAATCCAATCCAATCCAGGTTTAATAAGTTATTCACGAGTTAAACACTATGGCACAGTGACAATTGGCACATGAATGCAGAACAGGCTGCAGTATAAGCCTAAAACAGCCTAATAGTTGAGCACTCAGATTTCACATTCGTCTTTGTAATATCAATCATCTAATAATACGTGTATCTTGTGTAAATATTACGCCTTCGTCGATAGATAACATTATTACTATCAGCCAAAACAATGAAGATCAATTATCCGGCCTGTTCCAAGTGGTTTCACAGCCAAGCTATAAAGCCGGTGGTTTGAGGGTCTACTACGAAACACAACCGCGAGATTTTCTATTCGTCTCTACTAGCTTTTCTCACCCACCCTGTGGCGCAGACAGGATGGATAGAGACGGGCGGTGCGGTGGCAGTATTCTGATGTTTTGAGGGTAGGACCCATGTGCTGGCGACCTGCCAATTTACAAATCGTGTCAAGTGACTCATATTTATTTGGCGTGAAAGTGCTCGCTTAACTAGATCGTTAGCAATTCTTTGAGTATTTGGAACTGCATAAGTACGCAACTTTGACGGTATATTTGCATTTAAAGCCTAGGCCTAGGCCATACCCTGCATTTCGCTCGTGTCAATATCGCACGTCAACAAGTAACTACTCGTACCTACTAAATATGACCCGCAATTAATTGGATAATGAATTCATTGTAAATGTTGATTCAAAAAAGATCCATCTCGGTACTGAATACTTAATTGAGGGACTTTATTAAAAAAAAATCTGTAGGTACGTTGTAGTACGTTGTCTAAAGTGAGGTACTGTCCGAATCGCCTTTAGTATGTACTTTGAAGATTCGGCCTTTAATGCTTAACTTCCTTGACCCATTGGGTATCAGATTAGGACCTAAAGACCAATCAATAGATTGTAAGTGTCTAATGACTTCTTCTTCTTCTTGCCGTGTCGACAACAAACCAACACAGCGTCAGCCCAAAACTCCGCCACAAGAATGGCGTTGTCAGTAGCCTTCTTAGCACATGATGTCGTGCCCTGCGTGCCCTAACAACTGCACGCAGGGCACGACATCATGTGCTTCGTCGACTGAGGAAGAAAACCACACTTGCACTCCAAGTTTGAGCCATCCAAGACTTGTACAGATTGTCCTTACTACGGCCAACCTGCGTCCGAAGTTTATTTAAAGATTTCCAGGTAGGCCAGGGGAGCTCATGTCCATAGGGACAAAAGGGCAAGCATAATCAGCTCTCTCACGCCATAACGATCGTCATGAAGGAGAGAGAGAGGAGTCTAATGACTGATATCATCTTGGTTTCCAGTGGTCCGGGACAGCGCGAGCGCGATGGCGAAGCTGTGTCGCCAGCTTCCCGCGCCGACGCCCGTCTACCCGGCAGCGTCGTCGCCCGACCCCGCGCGAGCGCACCACGCGCCGCCCTCGCTGCCCCCGCGGCCCCCGCCGCCCCCGCCGGTCCCAACGGCCCCCCCGGCTCCAGGCAAGACGCCCGCGCCACCCGCCGCCGTCATACCGAGGATCGAAGTAGACATGGTGGATGCCAGATAGATTTACGTAGATCTCTCGTTCAATTCAACGCAAAACTAATAATAATTAACTTTAAAAAAAAATAAAACCGAATCCAAATGCGTGAACACAAAAAAAACTAAAAATTAAAAATATTGCGTATAAAAAGTTCATCCCCAATTTTCCACCCTTGAGGTATTACCTATACGCCGAAAAAAGATTTGTTCAAATCGGTTCATAATTGGCGGAGTTATCGCGTAACAAACATAGAAAAAAAAAACATACGGGTCGAATTGAGAACCTCCTCCTTTTTTGAAGTCGGTTGAAAATATTTAATAGGTATGTGTATTTTGGTAAAGTTACTTCAATTTTATGTATCATCAGCAAAGTTCTGGAATGGAGGCCGCGTACCTGAAAACGCAGCGTGGGACGTCCACCCACAAGGTGGACCGACGACCTGATAAAGGTAGCAGGAGGCGCTGGATGCAGGCCGCTACCAACCGTGCGATGTGGAAGACATTGGGGGAGGCCTATGTTCAGCAGTGGACGTCCTATGGCTGAAATGATGTTGATGATGATGATGTATCACCAGATCGTCTCGGTCCATCTAGTTTCTAGTAGGAGGCGTGTCTACACTACGCCCTCCGGTCTGTGGTTGCGGGAAGCACCTGGATGCGGGCAGTGCAAGAACCGCTCATTGTGAATATTTGTAGGGGAGGCCTTTGCAGCAGTAGACGTCATTTACCAACCGGGCAGGCCGCTACCAACCATTGGAAAGCATTGGAATGCATTGGGGGCGGCCTATGTTCAGCAGTGGACGTCCTATGGCTGAGATGATGATGATAACGATGAGACGTCATTTATTAGTTGAAACGAACTATGTATTAGAAATACCTTTTTCTAGAGTAAGGAAGGCCTGTACTTAAGTGTACTTTCAGATCAACGCTTCGATATTAACGATTACGGTCTCTAATTAATGTATGTTGTAAATATCCAAGATCCATCTAACGTCCATTATATCTTAAATTAAAAGTTTATAAACATTTTAATAATTAAAATATGATAAGGTTCCTATCAATATACCTAGGTATAATCAATTTTGTATTATCTACTCGTACTCTCGTTGTTTGCGCTGCAAATGCTGTGAAGAGTGATTGTTAAAGTATGATAAATAAGTACAAGACATGTCCGCAGTTCTAAAAACTTTTTGTTTGTTAGAGTAAGTTTGTTGTTGACCACATGGTCATGTGGTGTGAAGAATTTCCTGCCATTCATAAACCTTTAAAACAGTTTACAAACACAGAGTTGCTCCAAAGTTAAGCGTCCAAAAATAAAGTAAGATAAATTACGTACTTATCCAATTTTTTACACAAGTAATGCTATCTATTAATATGATGATATTACTCAGTACATAAAATGTAATTTCAAAATAAATGTAAATTAAATAATCGATGTTGCATGCATTTTACTGTTTTTCTCAATGTCTGTAACTCTGGCTTTCTAAATATTAAATGTGCCAACTTTGTATTTTCATGACTATAAAAATAATAAAAATAGTTATTTACCAACCGTTTTTTAAATAACCTTTATTAAGTAGGTATAGCCTGACCAGGAACATAAAAACCCTGGCATAGAGGCGCGTCAATTGCATTTGATAGTGCAACACTGAGTACAGTCGTACCTGTGTTAAATTAATAGGCTATCTTTATGTATCAGGATTTAGGATTACGGGCTAATTTGATATTTTCATAAATTAACGAAAAAATATTATTATAGGTAACCTGGTTTAAATAAATTAAATGAAACCATCAATCGAGCTAGTAGGATTTATTTTATTATTCATCAATAATCTTGAATATTCAACTGCAATGTCTGCTCATGAACGCTTCAAACTCGGTACTTCTTTACCAATTCCATAAAATTCAACACTAAGAAAGTGACAAAAAAAATTAAAATAGGTAGTTGAAACAAACCACAGCTAATTTTCATAGTGGACTGTACTATACGATAAACATGTCAGTCAATTTGACAACCTTTGTCGGAAACATTATTCAATGAAAATATTGTCCGAACCCTTAGTATTTCTCTTCGACAAATACTTTAACACATTGTGAACCACTTTTCTTTCACGACTATAAAAAGATTTTAGCAATTTAATTCACAAAATCAATTGCGCACATTTAAAATAAAGTTTGTTTACACTTTGACAGCAATAGACTGACATGCAAGGTGACATGTCAGTGAAGTTTTCAGTTACTGTTGCCATTAAAAGAAATTAGTACCATTAGTTTTCCGCAACATGGCGAGGGTTTTTATGTTCCTGGTCAGGCTATACATTACATATATTCAAATATATTTATTTATTTGACTATTTACAGCTATGAGGAAAACTATGGAGTGTATTGAATATAATAATTTCAATCCTTTAGCTGTGGGTCTAAGGTAGAAGTTTCCAATGTTTTTCAACAAATCATTTGAATGTTCATGTGTTTCAAGCAAAATTAAAAAAAATGCACTCTGCAACACTTTTGACAATTTTTTCCTGAATTTTATTGGAATGAAATTCCAAATTCAAATTTACTTCATTACTTTGTGATGACAAAAATAGCGCGTTAAGCTTCGTAAAAAATGCTGGAAAAGCAGGGTTGAGTGGAAAAACAATAATATGAAGTATAGCCCGGTGGAAGAAGAAACGGATTGCACGTACCTTTCTTTAGTTTCTGGATACTGCAGATGATGCAGACGCCTTTCATGGTTTCATTTTCGTGGTAGGTAGTCACTGCGCGCGAGCACATGGGCGGCCAGGTCAAATTTTCTTTCAAGACGTAACACCACTTAAACTAACACTTTTTCAGTACACATTGATCACAAAGCACGCAAGTATTTACTGATAACAAAAGAACAAACAACGAAAAAAATAATTTACAACAGCTGTCACGTTAGCACCACTCTCGCTTGGCAGCCATCGCGGCATCGTTCGAGAAATTCAAAAGGAGAACATGCAGCGACATCTCGCAGGCAGTTGTGGAAGTGTGGCGCGAATAAATCGAGTCAAAACAAATCCTTTAATTATTATATTCCTACCATGTAATGCCGTCAAATATTCTAGCATCTATTAAAATTAAAATTTATTAATAAGTTAAGTGCGCTTGAAAAGCTCTATAAAGATGCTAATAGCTTTAACCACAATAATCAGGGCTAAAAGAAGAAATTATTTCGCTGAATAGATTTAAAAAACGCTTTTTAATTATGACCAATTTTAATTAAGAAGATAAAAACAATATTGACCAGTTCATTGACAATAAATAGAGACAATGTAAGTTACATTGTTGTACATACAATATTATTACATAATGTTTAATTTTAATGTACATAGCTACGTATTGAAGTATTCGTGAAAAAATATAGCTTTTTATACAAAATCTGTTTTTTTTTTTGCAACAAGCAGGCTTTTAATAACTTACATTTTCAATTGACTGGATAAATTGATTTTTTATGCGTTTAAATACTCATTGTAGCAGCCCGTCGTTAATACACGTTAACAATAATAAATAATACTTAGTTAAAGCATAATCAACAATTAACATTAAATTGTAACACGTATTTTTTATTATAACTAATACTCATAATTTATTTATTTATTGGGCTATCAAAATGAGATACATAGAGATAGATAATCTTAGTAGAAGAAGCCTACCTACGATAGGTATAAATATGTATTTTATATGGATAGCATTCTTAATAATTTAATTGTAGTTAATTTCCCCATTACAACATTCATCCAACATGGTTACGTGTAGGTTTAAAACATTAATGAATAATTGAATATAAATAGTTAACTTGACACAATAGTTAGGCACATCGATACACTTCGCAGTACATCATTAATATTTAAGTTACAACAGCAAATTCTCACTAATTCGTCTCTAAAATGGCACGAAGTTTATTTCTAAGTTCGTTTATTTTAATAAATAAATATGGCGAAGAAAGTACACTAAATACATACTTAACAATGATAAGTATCACTAACATCAAATTGTTTGAAATAACTTATTTATAGGTATGTAAGTAATACTTAAGAATGGGTAGGAGTTTTGACAGATTTCGGCCGACCTATCACTAAGTAGGTGGCGGCTAAACTTTCCCAAAATTATAAATAAATTATGCAAAGTTCTGGTGTTTTATTTTTTCCACCTTTCATGATCAGTTTTCCACCTATGAAACTGCTTTCTTTCTCATAAAAAACTGCTGTTTTGGGAAAAATCATTGATTTAAATAGCAGTCTCCTTCTTTTTGGGCGACGTGTACTGCTGGATGTCGTCGTAGTCCGGCGGCCTCTCCTCGCTGCCCTCCAAATCCAGGTCTAGATCACTCTCTGCGGAAAGAAATACAGAGGTTTAAAGTGTTTCCGCTTGCTAGTTCATGTTAACTGAAGACTTGAAGTGAGTCATTATTAAAGAGCAAACTACCCACGGTAGACCTTTGCCCCGACATTAAAATGTTAACATTGACATTGAGGAGGAGGATTAACACAATTTTCTATGGGTCTTGTTTACGTGTCCACGAAATGCTAATGTTTAATCTGATCACTGCACACCTCGCTGGAATGCGACTCTCCTTCCCACTTACCCGTACACCTCCCCGCGTTTCGCCCCGTGTCTATGAACCAGAGCGTCGATGTGACGTTACTGCTGCTAAGTGCGCAATTAACTCTACTAGGTTGTATATCTCCTTGTGATCATAATAGTTGTAAAAGTACGTAGTACAGTATTCTTTTGTCAGGCGTTCTTGACTTGTTTCAGCCTCGTAATACTGTACTATCTGTACGCCTAGCACGAAAATCTTTCGAGTTCAAATCGTTTGCGTACTCGAATCGCCATCAAAAGATTTAGTTGATAACGTGTCGTAAAGTGAACTTAGTATGAGACGTGGTTGCACGAAACTTATTTTGAGAATCAAAATTGTCACGTTATCATTTAATTCGAAGATTGAGTATCGAATTTCATCGAATACGAAAACGATTCGAAGACGAAAGTTGTTCATGCTAGAGTCTAGAGGTACTGTGCTATAGTGTAGGCAAGTAATACTGTACCTGAGAAGGCGCCGGACTCGGGTCGCTGCGGCGGCGCGAGGATGTCGCCGTCGCTGGCGTGGCGCGCGCGCAGGCTGGCGGCCAGCGGCGACAGCGACGCGCGCGCGCGCGGCCCGCGCACCGGGCCCGCCTCCGCCAGGTAGCACGCGCCGCCGTCGTAGCCCACCGTCTCTGAAGGAGTATGTTAGTTAGTTAGTTAGTTTTGCAGGGCAATCGAATACCGCACTTAGCCTCATGATAGGGCCATTGTGCGCGATTTGTGGTTTATCTTCCTACTCCAACCACCCCAGATCCCCCCAGAAGGCGAGCAGCCCGTCCAGGCTGCTGCAGGCTTCCTGTAGCGACGACGGTGATCGAAGAAATTGAGCCCGTTTTTCTTCCACGCTACTGCACTCCATGAGCACATGCTGCGGTGTTTCCTCTGCCTCCATGCACCCCCTGCATAGTGGGCTGTCTGTGACACCTATATTGTATAGGTGCTTGTTTAGCATACAGTGTACTGAAGGAGTATGATTATAACAGCTTTTTATATTTAGTTATTAAATTTTTAGCATTAAGAGTCGCATCTCAAACTAATTTGAAAATTATAAATAACTTAAATATGATATGTAAAAGAGCTGTTTCATCTTAACTGACAGTTAAATATTTGCAACAATATTTCTGTTAGATGTAGGGTAGGTATACTTAACATTGATGAAACAAACGCTGGCTGTAACAGCGTATTACACTTGAAAATTTCGACGGGTTCATCCAGTGTCTAAGTAGCTCAGTGGAAGAGCAGTTGCCCGGCAAGCGGAAGGTCGTGGGTTTAATTCCCGCCTTAGGCAGTTCGATTTTTTCTCAAGTTATTTATAAGCTTTTTATATTGCTTGAGAAAATCGAATTGCTTAAGGTGGGAATCGAACCCACGATCTTTCGTTTACCAGGCGACTTCCTCTTTATTACTACTAACTACTTAGTTACGTATGAAAGCAGCCGTTATAGTCCACTTGTTAATAGACAACGAAGCGGCCAAGCCACATAGAGATAGGAAGTGTAGAGTTAGAGGCTTAGTTCTAAAGGACATCTGATAACTTTTTGATAGTGGAAGCCATAATGGTCTCGCCTTGGCAATATTTTACATGAAAATGTTTTGGTGGGATCGATTTTGTTGGATCAACAGTGAGGTCGATGATCCAGTTAAGTCTGTAAGCTACCGAGCAATTTTATATTACTATTGGCACTGTTGGTTATTGATTTGTTAGTGCAACAAGGACCACCAACTTAATAATAGTAAACTCACCAACTGAAGGTGGAGGGAACGGCCTCGCGAGGCTTATCCGCGACTCAATCGTGTGATGCTCGGCCCCCGAGCGGTCGATTCCATCGATGTCTTCCGCCAGCAGGAACTCGTAGTTCGACACCTCGCCCTCCTCGAGAGGCACCAAACTTTTCCGCGGCACCTCCTTCAAGCGAATAGACTCGTTTAACGACTGCTTCGCTTCTTTCGGTTTGTAAATTGACTTATTTCTTTCCTCTGCGACTCTTTCAGACTCTATAAACTCCTCATAATTAGAGGTCGACGCTTTAACCAGGATAGAAGATTCCTCATTAGTATCCCCTATGTAAAAATTACTTGTAGACGGGACGACTTCATGAAAATCACTCGTAGGCGGGACGAGTTCAGTAGCATCGGTGTCTTTGATGTCATCTTTGTTGGATTCTTTGCACTTTTTAGAAGATTTGATGTTAGTGTAATGTTTTTTGCACGGTCTAACTGGTTGGGTTTCAGGTTGCAGGCATTCTACGGACGACGATTCGGGTTCAGCGAATGGCGCTTTGTCTAGGCTGGGAGTGCTGCCGGAGGGACACTCGTTTTCTGGCTTGAGCGGGATGTAGAGTTCCTTGGTGGAGCGCTCCCAGTCGCGGCGGTGGATGACCTCGTCGATGACGCTGGGCGCGGAGTGGTAGCGGGCGTCGGCTGTGGGCGCCTCGTGGTGAGACTTTCTTCGGCTTCTTATTTCTTCGTGGCTTCTGTGCGCTGATAACGGCTTCTTGGAATATCCTGGAAACATTTCAGACTGTTGTTGGGTACTTGTTTACTACAATGGTAATGATGGTTGAGATAGAAATTGATGATGATGACCTTTCTACTTAGTGTTATTCCATCAATGAAAAGCGGAGAGGGATCTTTATATTAACACCTACAATATACACAGTCAATAGTCGTTCTTAAAGTAAAGACATAGTCAAACCTGAAGTGCTCGGTAGATGTAGAGACACGGCGCTACTGGCCATGCGTCGGCCGAAGGGGGCTCCAGAGCGACTGCGGCCTCCGGACTCTGGAATATTATACAATTTATGCTTTATAACAATATTAAGTTGTTATTCCATGAACAATTCATAATAATACAGTGATTTGGCACATACCTATGTAAGCAAAGTACGTTACGCTCCCTCTGGACACGTGGTCCGACTGCTTTGTCCGATCAATCGGACCACGTGAACTTTTTTTTCCTGTTGGTTCGATTAATCGGACTACAAGGAATCGCAATTCCACTTCGTCCGACTAATCGGACTTGAAATAAATTAAGGGTGCAGGTATGCAACAAAATCGATCCATGGAAACTATTTCTCGTGTCAATTTCACATTAACTACCAATGCGATGCTCTTTGGTCATAATAATAACAAGAGCTTCCTCGTGAACGGCTTGGCATGGAAAGGTTCACTATTAAATAAATTTATAATAATAAATTTAAATCAATATTGATTTGAAAAAATAATACAAATATGTAAAGGTATAAATATTTTTAATTAAAGATTGTTTCATTCAATGTAAAACGATCTCCTTTTAGTTCAATTCAAAGTTCAACTGAATTGAACTTTCAGGAAAAAAACCGTAAAGTCAACTTTCTTCAGTAATCTTTCAAGGAAGTTGAAATACACGGATTTTTTTTATAAACATTTCCTAAATGTTTATATTATTATAGATAAGTAGGTTATGTAGGTAGGTATTCATTTGTTTTCCAAATTTTCAATAGGGATGTTTCCTGGGTAAAAAGCAAGAGTTTTAATTAGTCCGTCAGTTAGCTTATCAAAAAATACTCGACACCTATTTTTCACTTTTAAAACTAATGAAAATGTAAAGAGATAAAGCGTGCCAAAGTTCTAAAGAAAAGGCCCGTGACGTCAGTGAGTGCGTAAAAGTGCTGCACTTTGTGACGTCACGCGGAACTTCAACGCACTATAACTTTGAAATTATTTGTTTGATTGGCAATTAAATAATTCAAGTCCAATATTTTTTTATATTAAAATTGACGGACGAAAACATTTTTTTTAGGAAACTAGCCTAAACATCTATCAAAAATATTCAATAGATTTATTATAGTTGAATTTTTAGGAAAATATATTCCGTTTATTTCAAATTTCTAGAAAAATTATTGAAACTATGGATTTTTTTTCCTGAAAGTTCAACTCAGTTAAACTTTGGTTTGAACTAAAAGGAATAGGTCTGTTATAGTTTTTCAATCAAGAAAATGCAATGAAATAGTGTTGAGTTAATGAAATAATAAATTTTAATGTATCTTTCTTTCTTTCTTTCAAATAGGTTGGGCGGTTAAATGTCGGACCATGTAACCTTAAGAACAGAAAGTCTTGATAGTCCGACTCCTTAATCGAACCAACAGGAAAAAAAAGTTCACGTGGTCCGATTAGTCGGACAAAGCAGTCGGACCACGTGTCCAGCTTAGTCGTTCCCACCTAATGTGGAATAGAAAATAAAAATGATTCCACGGACGGAGTAGTGGCGCAGTAATTTGATTTGAACTCGGATGGTCTCAGGTTCAATTCCTGGTTGAGATTTAGAAAAAAAAAAATAGTTCGCATCTAAGTTGCAATCCATTGTTTGTACAAACTAAGGACGTACTCGTAGGTAGTTCATATTTTTGAAAGCATTATAAGATACTTAATTGGTAGCCTTGATTTTTTTATGATTAGTATTTATTGCCTTATTTTCTGGGCAGACCAAGGACAGAAAATAGTATTTATAGATCGCTTAAAGAGGTAAGTACTTCATGTACGGAAACACCATGGTTTGGACATATTGTGTGATCTAAGATGAATGGATGAGTGAATTGAGTGACAATGTCTGACTACTAGGAGTGACACACATTCAATTTACGTACCACCCACAACTGGCTTCCATGGATTGTCGGGAGACGTGTCTGAAAACACACGGCGATCATTGAAACTACTGATCATACAGATGTTATAACCAAGGAGTTTGTAAAAAAGTAGGCAGTCTATCAAGAACTATCTGATATCGAAGAATCTTGACGGGAGCAACAACGGGAGCTTATTGTAGTAGTTCTTGCATACCTATATTATGTTATAAGATAAGGGCTCGTTTCTCCCACGTCAATCCAGTTTTGGACTCTCCCGTAAAACTGAACTGTCGTGTACTCGTAAACACATGTGCCTATGTTTGAAATTCTATTTACATAATCGAACGGATCGGTTTATTACGGGACTGCAAACGGGATGTTCGTGTGAACTTTATTAAAACACGTTTCTATTAAACGGGATCCTGCAAAAAACAGGATGTCTTCGTGGGAACAAGCCCTTAGTTTGTAAATATTGAAGAGCATAGGTATCTATTTCTAAGTAAGCAGTAAAGGAAAATAAAAGTTACATTGGTATCATCTCAAAAAGTATCCAAAGATCCGTCGGTGAGGTTAGCGGTGCCCTGAAAGCTGGCAGCGTTTCCGCGTTGGATCGTTAGGCTAAGACGCTGGCCAAGGTGGAACCCGGCCTTCTGGTCACCGGTAACCTCGATGACGCGGGTGGAAGCTCAGTAAGCAGTGATAAAGTACCGGAGTTGGAGTCGTCGGGCCAGCAGCACAGCCAGCACAGCGTGAGTAGCGCCGCGCACGCCTCCGGCCGCGACTCCGCGCGCGCGCCCATCGCCCACTGCTGAACAAATTAAAAAAAAATATCCTTGGACATTTTACACTGCGCTTCTAGTCCCAAACTAAGCAAAGCTTGTACTATGGGTACTAGACAACGAATATATAAACATACTTAAATACTTTTTTTTTTGTAAATAGGTACATACATATTAAACATAGAAAACACCCAGTCCAATACAAACAAATACGTTCATGCACACAAATGTTTGTACTGTGCGGGAATCGAACCTGCAACCTCCGGAATAGTAGTCCGCTTCGAACCGCTACACCAAACGGCCGACTATTATAAACAAAACATTTACAAAAGACAAGCCGTTTACGAATCAGAAATGACAAGATCCGTAAAAGAACTAAAGTCGCTGACATAGCCCAACGGGTTAGCAAGCTGAAGTGGCAATGTGCATGGCAAATAGGTAGTATGCAGAACCACAGAATAATAAATAAGTGCAGAACTGACGGACGACGGGCAGCAAGGTTATGGAGTGGAGGCCACGTACCGGAAAGCTCAGCGCAGGATGTTCACCCGCAAGGTGGACCGACGACCTCATTAAGATAGCAGGAAGGCGCTAGATGCCGGCCATTGTGGAAAACATTGGGGGAGGCCTATGTTCAGCAGTGGACGTCCTATGGCCGAAATGATGATGATGATGAAGCAGTTGAATATTAACGGGACTATTCCTACATCTCGTTTCCACCGCTCTGAAACTCCTGTGTGGCCAGGATCTACAGCTTGACCGCCAATAAAAACCCAACCAGTGAAGATCAAGTTTGTAACGGAGGAAAGTTAAGCAGTCATCGGACCCGCAACGAAATTAATCGAAAGAATATAGGAAGAGTTCTAAGTTTGAACACTGTTTTAGCAAAAGATAGAGCAAATCATTATCATCATCATTTCAGCGACAGGACATCTACTGCAAAACATAGTCCTCCTGCTATGATTGGCCAGCTAAAAGAAGCCTACTGAAAAGACGGACGCAAATTGATTAATTTAACGTCAAATAATATATAGAAAACATTTTATTGTACACTACGCAATTCACTACACAAACGTAATTATCTGTGTATATGTTTACAACAACGCTACATAAGTTAACGGCACGGCAGAACAATGACAACATTATTTAAACTAAAGCTCTATTTTCATATTAACAGCTATTAAATTATACCTAATCAATGTATTTAAAAACGTAAAAAAACGTCCTTGATGCTTTCTTCAGGACGAGGAATATCATTAAAACCAAGCAGCTGCGTTAATTGGATGGTATGGTAATACTGGTATGGTAATACAACACCATTAATTAAGTATTGCTTATGTATCTAGAGGTAGAAGTGATTTTACACAGTTAATACTCCAATATTCTATTGCAAGCTTGAATTATGTACATTTCAATCACTGTTATGGTTTTTTTTTCTAGAAAAAATAAACATATGTAACTAAGTAGAGACAGTATGTAATTAAATACTAACCTTAATTATTTAAAGGTGGTCATAATAGCAGGTTCCCCTGATGGTGTCTGCAGAGTCGAGTCACTGGTTTATGGTGGAGGGTTTATAGAGTATGGCGCTATGGCGCGGGCGGGAGAGAGATGAGCACTGATTGGACCGAATCTTTCGCGCGAGAGTAAGGCATGCCCGACGCACAGTGAGAGCATTTTCGATTTCAGTTGGAGGGCGAAGTTTACACTGAGAATGAAAGTCTTTACGTAATGTAGAGTTTTGCTTTGTGGCTTCGGTTTTGGTTACTGCTATAAACAATCAATTTAACTGATTTTGAGTAACATTTTTTGGGTTGTAGGTTAATCGAACCCAATAAAATCTGTTATCAATAGGTATTTTGAGCTTGCCTTGAGGATAAAATGATTTATAATTGAGTCCAAAAAATCATAACTTAAGTAGGTAATTTTAAAGCTTAGGGTGTAAATGAGTAGTTATAGGAAAACAGACGAAAAATTCCACTTTTTTGTTGGTATTTAGTTATATTTTCATGGTTTTAGTAAACCTTTGCGAACAATAGATCTAAAAGATTATTCATGTTATATTTTTGTTTAAAAGATAAGAAAATAGTTTTAATAAGAGACACGAAAATGTCCCATCTCCCGTGTCCCGCCCAGTGTGCCACGGGCCGGGACGGCGCCGGAGTGTCGCGCGCCATCGATCCGCCCAGACGCGCCGCCCTCGATCTAACTAGCTCTACCATACCAACAAGGACAAACTAATGCTAATAAAAATAACTCCCATTATTGTTGTTTTATGGAGAAAATCTGACGATGCTTGCCGGTGGTGGTCATTATTGCTTGTTCTCCCCCAGGACCTAAAGTTTAGGAAACCCGCGTGTATTCCATCCTCTGTGAATAAATAAATTTTGTTAAAACATATTATCTTGTTGGAGATCTTTGTAATATAGATATAACTAGCGGCCGCCAGTGACTTCTTACGCGTTGATCCCGTTTTATCCCCTTAGAGGTGGAGTTGCGTAAAATCCTTTTTTAGCAGATGCCTACGTCATAACATCTACCTGCATGCCAAATTTCAGCCTGATCCGTCCAGTGGTTTGGGCTGTGCGTTGATCACTATGTCAGTTCACACATTAGACCTAGAATTCATAAAACAAAGCTCAACACTAGATTCAATCTTATTCCTAGTTAAATTCCAATATTGCATCTACGAGTAATATTTTCTTTTGAGTAAATTCACATAGAAACCTAGAGTTCCGGCTGCCATGCGTAACCTGACGTAATAACTATCAGTTTATCTGTGCCGTGATCTCGTTCACGAAATCATCAATTAGCCAATCAGTGTAATCGGCCCCTTTATTCTGTCAAAATAATCTAATAATCAGCATTAGGAACTTATCATGTTTGATGATATAATCGCAGTAATATCAATTGTCACATAGATACTACATGCTTGACGTAGCACATTTTTAATAGATAGACTACAATGTTGAATAACAATAGGATACAAGAAAGAATTATGACTATGTATGTTCAGCTCACAGTAAGTAAAGACAAATAATAAATAGTAAGGTAGGCATGTGACATTACTGGTTAAACATTTATGTTTAACCAGTAACGGGTAAGAGTTTCTTATCGTGGTATAAAAAACGTCTACCAATTCCGCGAATATGATTCTTACAACCTTGATTTTTTGTATTAATATGTAGGTATGTGAACTCAGGCAAATAATACATTGATAGGTCGTAGTTGTACGTAGTCTAGAGACGTGCTTAGAGAGCGGACTGTATCTTTCCTTCCACCCGCAGGTCCCAGATTACCTTCCCTATTCCCATTCATGTTGAAATAATATTTTGTGTAGCCGGTCCAAGTTATATGTATTTCATTCAACAGAATGTTCAAATAGGCACTTTTAAAGGAGCTTGATTATAATACAAAAAATACAAAATATTTTATTTCATTATAATTCGCTCACATGATCGTAGCTCTAAATTCATTTTTCTCTTAATATTATTAAGATTGTTCCAGAGCTCCAAAGTCACCTAAATTAGAGGTCAATAGTGCAAAAGGAATATTTATTAGTGTCGTAGACGTATGACAGGATTCCTTGGCTAGCACCGCCCGCGCGTGCGCGAATGTCGTGGAATTTACACGCGCCGATGTTTTTATTTACTCTGAGCTTGTTACCAAAAAATGGAGGACTAATATAGACAAATTCAATTTTTTTATTGCATATTAAGTGTTTACAATTGGGTCTTAATCTAAACAATGAGCTTATAACTTAATAACCCGTTAATGGGTATTGCAATGTTAGTGGTGAGAGAGGACTAGTCTAAACTTAGGTCTAGCAACTTACATTATGAGATGCCTTATCTTAAATTCTCTTCAGATTTTATAACTAGAACGGTTGAATTAATTAATTATTTTGTTTTAATGATTATGTGCACTAAAAGTAAAGGTACGTAAGTTACGGTCTTTAGTTGAAAAGAAAAAACATGTCATTGTAGAGTTGGACACCAAAATGAAGAAATTCATATAGGTATCTATTACGAACAATTACGAAAAAAAATTAATGTTCTTAATTTCCCTCAAGTATTACCTTTATTCGGGAATAATAATCTGAATTATTCAGTTATGAATTTTCACTAAAGGAAATCTACTGTATGTGTGATTTTCTTTGAATTTTCTACGATAAGGTACAATTTAAAAATATACCGACATAATATTTGTATGTAGAGTCTAGACCGACCTAGCAGAATTTCCATTCCTGCTGCCGTAAAATGTTTCCCTACTACCTGAAAAAAATTGCCTAAAATATGCCCTTTAAAGCACCTGTGACCTGTGATCATATCAAGATGTGTTAAATCGATCCGTGTAAACTCCCGCAGGCACGCCCTCCGCGCAGCCGCCAACCAGTAGCCTCCTCGCCGCCGCCGCGCGGGGTCCTGTCGCACAACAAACTGTTTTAACGCACTCACCGAAGCACCCGCGATGCCGTCGAGTATCGATTGTGCATCCAGTGTATGATACGGAGGGCTCAGAGCACCAAGGATTTCTGTAAATGTGAGTATACAATAAGTGCACGTTATCAAGGTTAAGATTGATTGAAGTGATTCGGTTTAGTGATTTTTTCGATAAGATTAATGTGAGTATCAAGTAATTTTTTGCACTCGTTTATTTATAAGTACGTGCTCTTGAGAGATGCTGCACCGCCATGTTTCTAATTGTGTTTGTTTTTTTCCAATTTTTTATAGGTATATTTATTAACTAGTAGCTTGTTTTGAGTTGCATAATAAGTTACTAAAAGTTGTTTATGGGTATATTATAAATAACGAAATTAAGAACTTAGAAAAGGACTGGAAATATTTTATTACTTGCTCTACATTTATAGATTTGGAGGAAAATGCTTTGCAAATTATAATTATTTCTAATAAGGCAGATAAAGTAAAAATAACAACTAACAATGAATCAAAATTAAAGCTAGAATAAACACATAGTAATAATTCCTATTCAATTCGAAGAATGTCAGTTGTGTTCATTT